GAGAACATGATTGGCATACGCCAAGACGTAGATACCATGAAGTGGGCTGACTGACAAGAAATCCAAGCAGGGCATGACGAGGTATGCGCCTGGTTTCACCCGGTGTTTCACCTAAAAATTAGCATGATAATTACAATGGTGAAAGGAAAATGTAAGGAAATAGCACCCAGAAAACTTACTCGTAGCTTGATCTCGAATTTTAATCTTAGATAAAGTTCTAGAGGAAACAGAAGAGGTCATGTTACAAGAATGATGACCAGATGGGTTAGCAGTAGCAGTGTATAGGAGGTCTCCATTTGGACTAAATTTCACCCAACGAACGCGCGAGTGATCGGAAACAAAACGCCAAACAGACAAAGTACGACCGGAAACCCAATCAAGAAATACGACTTCCTGAGACCTATTTTGCACAATGAAAAATACACAAAACAAAATGACATACCATGCGGCCACGATAATGGGATGATGCGGATGGAATACTAGAGAAGCAATCGCACCCCCTCGTTTCCAAGAGCGTGTGGGAGAAATCTTCAATGAGTTATTTTTACCATTGCACTCGGAATAATCGAAATTCGCAAGACAATCAAGGTCCCAAAGATGTATGCTACCACCCAGGCAGCCGCTGACAAGTAAATAGGGATGGGCTGGGTGGAACTAAAATCGAACAAAAGTTATAAGACAAAAAGTAAAAATAAAGAATTAAAAGGAAAGTGGCTCACGTTGAGAGTCCACGGGGAAGAGGTATGGCCTTCACAAACAGCAGCTAGGGCACCTGAGCTGGCAGAATAGATGGCTATCTTCTGGTTTCCATGTGCGGCTGCTACTAGATCATAAGATGGATTAAGTCTTAGCAAATATGTAGAACGAGAGTCAGTCGACGTCTCAGCGAGCAAAGGCTCCGAGTGACGCCAGGTGGTGAAGTGCTCGGCAAAGCGAACCTCGTTAGAATCAAAAGACTTTCCCAGTTCGCGACGAAGAATGTAATCGACAATAGCAGTCATTATCTTATCCCATTTTGAAAACGCAAATAAATACAGCTATAGTGGCCGATAGGCCTAGCAGATTAATGAAAAGAGGAGAAAAAAATAATAAAGAAGCGAGGAAACAAAGGCAAAACGGCCGGAGCGCACAAAACAGAAAGGCCGAGTTAAAGAAGAGGGGTCAGTGTAACATTTACAAACTGTTCTATAAAACTTTAAAAAATGTTTTTACTGTCATCCGGTAAATTTTATAAATCAACTTCTTTATTTAAAAGGTTAAATTTAGTATTTATTAAAATGTAGAGTCAAGTGGATTGATGAATTTGCATCAAAGCTTTTATACTATTAGCTTTTTTGAATATAAGAATTTCGTGCTAAATTTTCTCTGCTATTACAACCAATTATTTACATCTAGCTAGTTGACAGCCTAAGGATAAGTCTACTCATATCTACCCTCTTACTTGTGAGTTTAATCGTCAATTCTTATTCTTTCTTATTTTCATACCTTTTGTTTAATAAATTATTTAATATTTTAGGTTAGCCTCCAAAACTTGAAGTAATTTCCTTAATTATGGATTTTGAAATTTGGTTTTTGGAAAGGGAACGTTCTCGCTCGGTGGCAATATAATTTAATTAATAATAACTTTAAATAATTAAGTATAGTCACCTCTTGTTCAGTTGGATATTTATATATACGAAGAGAAACTAAGTTTCGATGAATATCCTGAGATAAAATTGTTAGGAGGACTTTCATTTCGTGTGAAAGTGTAGGAAGAAGAGATTCGTTATTCGATCTCACCAGATAAGAACTGCAGCCGTTTGGCTTTTATACAATGTACATGCTGACGCAGTCCACGAGATTTCCTCCCTCGTTTAGAATTGATAGCATTGCAATCTGGTGAGATCGACCAACGAATCTCTTCTTCATGCAATTTCATACGAAATGAAAGTCCCCACAACAATGGATATTTATACTTTGGGAGTGTACCCATGAAAATCATTTAAGAAAATTATGATGTATCCAATCAAACCTTCGTATGACTAATTGAGATATAAAAATTGGACTATAAAAAGTTGATAGCATTGCAATTGGCGATCTCATTAATCAATTTTTATAATTTTTGTTGCTCCCTAAATCGATATCTATTTCATAAAAGATGAAAACCCAACTGGAATTCATTGAGGTGGCAGAACCGTGCGATACAATATTGAGTCACAGGCAAACGGCATATTTTATTTGGTATTTAGTACGAATCCATTTACACCAATTTTTCATAAAAAGTAAATGATGCAGTTCAGTCATTTTTAGGAAACCTGGTTATATTAACGTATAATGAACATAATAATGCTATTATTATACTTTGAATATATGATCTAAAGCCAGTTGTGCTGAGGATTGATTACAAATGTTGTTAAATTACAATTAGTCTACTTTAATATGAAGAACAAGATGGTGTTGCCTTCTGTTCGGTTGCAGTCTCCTCTAGTTTTATAGTGTTTGTTCGACCTCGTTTCCGTAACTTAGTCTGAGCGCCAGGGAGACCTTGTAGAGCGTACTTAGACATGTGTCATCTGCCATAGTATTTATGATTTCCAGCATCGGGCCATTGACTTGGTACACTCCCAAACGTTTCACCGACATTGTCGTTGGCATCATTAGCACAGGGTTACAATTTACCAAAGTGAAAAATGAAAGCAATCCCAATGACCAATTTTCTGTTCAATCGTTGTCGTATTATTAGAAAAAGGATAACTGAGTCATGCGTTTGAAGCTTAGGAAGGCGAAGATTTCCAGGCATTGGCATGGACATGAGCATGAAAAGGGGCGTAGGCACCATCTGCTATATATCCTCGAATATGTGTGATCGAGGACGGAAATTGAAGGCTTTTAGGCAGCCAGATTTCAGACAGTCATGCAGTAGTTTTGGTGCTTAGCAGGGACTAATTGAAGAGCCTGTAGGAAAAATGGGGGCAGAATGTAGGTCAGGAGCTCCGCAAACGGCACCCGGTAGCGGGGGTAGAAACTATTACCTTTCGCTAAAGCCACTTGTAGCAGCACACTCTTAGGCGAAATCGGAGGAAGCGAGAGCATAGAATTGTGTGGATAGGTAGAAAAGCCGTTTGAAGGTCGGTTAAGAGAAAGAGGTGCCTCACTAGATGATAGAACAAAAAATAGGGGTGAGTAGTGATGTCACAACGATGCCTTCACTTGTCACCTCGACAAGAGAACCTCTAACTGACGATGCCGGGGAAATATTTGGTAGTGTACAAAGTCAATGTTCTGCTGCTGAAAATCATAAATACTATGGCAGAGGATACAGGACTAGGTACGTCCCAAAAGGTCTCCCTGACGCTCCGACCAAATCGTGAAAACGAGATTAAACCAATATTTAATGAAATAAGGATATTTTCATTTAAATGAGTGTGCTCCTCGGATTAGGCGAAATTTTTAGTTTTCCATTAAAATTTAATCAAGCACAATCCCATATCTAACACTTGTACTTGTTCACGAAATTTGCTATTATAGCGAAATGTGTGCACTGCATTATTAAGTATGTAAATGCTCTAAAAGGTCTTTGTTTAATGTTTAACCTCATATTTTGATCGGAAGCAACTTCTAAAGCCTCTTCCAACTCGCTTAGCTGAATGCGTTGTATATTGATACTATATTTGAACCGACATGTGAATTATTAGTTTTTTTTATCCCTTGTTTATTCACTAGCATATCGAGGCTTGATAATTCCTTATTGATATCTTCCAACATAACGA